AGGTAGAGAAGTTTATGCCTCCGTCGAAAATGAAGGAAGGGTTGGGATTGGACTTTGAGGGCCATTACAACCTGGAACTCAGGAAGAATAGCAAGCAGACTTCGAGGGCTGAAGCTTAGTATTCCACTAGCATAGATCAACTGAGCAAACAAACTTCGAGGGTTGGAGCTGGGCTGATCCAAGGTAGACAAGATTATGGCTTAACCCGAAGGAAGGGGAGGCAAGGGGCAGATGAGATAAGTGCCCCTGGCATGCCCAAACCCCGGGGGATGAGATTTTATATAGAAAATGAATTATGTACTTGCATTCAGAGAGGTGCAAAGAAATGACTATTAAGGACCATATTGATGGGCCAAGAGTTTAAATTTTTTGGTTCACAATAAAGGTTCCTAGTAAAATAAACAAGAAAAGAAATTAAGGGAGTTCATCAATTGCTAATTCGGAGGTCATATCTTTGAATTACAACGATGATTCCTACTTTGAAATTAAGGAACATTCCTTAGTTTGGGGTGCAGGGAAAACCCCTGGACCAGACAAGTGAATGCCCCTTGATACAAAACAAAGGAAAGAAATTTGATTAGCAGGTGGCTAGGAACTGAAGGAGGGCCTATTGCGTCCATGCAGTCAACAAGAGGGAGGTGGGGGACCCTTCCATGGGCTCCTTCTCTTTGACGAGGGACACGTTGATGAATCAGCGGTTTCCCAGATGTCATAGTCTTCCCATGTCCCGGGACGGGGGGCTGCTCCCTTCAATGAAGAACCATTGTTGGAAGACTTCAGCAGGTTTGGAGAAGCAGTCCGGCTTTCACATGAAGGTTCCGCCTCAACAGTTAGCAAAGAACGTCCAAGTTCGGTCCTGCACATCCTCTGGTACAAAGCGAAGTCTTGGAGGGTCATGGAGTCCCAGTCTATCTCCCCGGATGGAAGCCTGGGTGGACTAGGAGGAGACGGTGCGGGAAGGCGAGGCGCCGGGTAGAGTCTCGAAAACTCGCCAAGACTCAACCCAGCCATGTCGTTGGATTGGGCTGGAGAGGCGGAGAAACCATCATCCGAAGAAGAAGATGTCCCAGAGAGGGTTAGGTCAATGACGACTTTACTCTCAGACTTACTAGCCATGGCGAAGGAGTCAGAAAGGGATGAACTAGCAGCTAATTATCCTTTCCTATTTATAGTCAAAGGGGAAGGGATAGTTGGGAAGTGATGAATGCGGTTGGAAGACGTGAGAGACTAAGCGATTGGCGAAGGAAGCGGTGAGCGACCAAGCGATTGGCGAAGGAAGCGGTTGAAGATTTCCAATGTTTGACTAGGGATTTCTCGCCACTTAAGTGCATGGGCTAGTTAATTGGGCCCATCTGCGCTTAGAGAGCGACGTCATCCGTGGAAGGTAAGGAGTTAAATAGACTTAGGCTTCTACTCCATACAGATGACGGCACGTGCAACAAAATTATATTAAATGACGGGAGATAAAGGTCCTTCTTCCATTAAATAGCTCAAACAGAAAATTACATTCTTTTGGGTTACAGTAATGGGCCTTATCCCTGATCTAACAACAAAACAAAAAAAAAAGACGGGAGATAAAAATTGTTCATTAAGTAACCCGAACGGGAGATTACATTCTTTTGGGTTACAGTAATGAAATTTGTCCCTGATCTACTTCTATCTTACTACTGGCTGAAGGCAAGGCGGATTAACACTTCTGGAATCTAAAGGAGTGTATTCGCTGACCCTTGCTTCCTCTGCCTGAATCAGAAAAGAACCCCAAAGCAGGGAGGTTTGGAGAGTGTCCGCCGTAGACACTTCATGAGATTCACAAGAAGCGGAATGGTACCAACAGGTTGGGATTGAAAGCCATTCCCATGGATACCATCCAGTCATTCTCATGAAGGTGGACGGAGAGGGCGTTAGGGCATGACGGGAGGACTCCAAACCTATTTCCTCTTACACGGGAGGAGGAGGCGGATCTCGGAAGGCCCCGTCCTTTTCACTGCGTATAAATGGAAGCCTATTTCCCCCCATGTCATAGTCCCCCCATTCCTCAGGCGGCTGTCCATATGACTGCTAAGGGGAAGGGGAGCCCTGAGAAGAAGGCCTTGCACCAGAGACCAGCCGGGAAGCTCCTGGGTGGGGATTGCGTCTCTTCTGCGGACGAGACGTGCTAGGACGGCCAGAAGAGACTTCCGCCCTGGCACTGTTAGAAAGCACGCCGGGACCCGGAGGAACACTCCCTGAAACTTGTGGGGGGAGATGAGGGTTATTCTCCTCCCTGGGCAAGGGAGAAGTTACCGATTGTTCGGAGGCAAGAGAGGGCCCAGAAGAGAGCTCAGGCGTTGGGGCCCCAAGTGAGGGGAATGCCAACGAGGAAGAATCAGAAGAAGAATCGGAAATAGTAAGATTAATAAAGACAACTCTATTGGCGTTGTTAGCCATGTTGAGAAATTGATTCTGATGATGGAGGGGTTCCGCCTAATCTCTTAAATAGGTGAGTAATCTCAAAGGAGAAGTACAAGGGACGTGGAGTCAAAGCGCTTATCCGATTGGGAGGGAGTTGCGGATTCCCGAGGAAAGCTAGGGTTGCATCATCTTATTATTAGGCTAGGGTGAATTGGGTTCGCCGTAATTAAGGTGGGCCAGTCACTTAGCGTAATGATAGACAAGAAAAACAGTACATTATGAACGCGGTTAAGCCCAAAGCCTAGGCGGATAAAAAAAATCTGCTAAGTCCTAGGGCGAAACAAGAGTTCCAAAAGGGAAACAGTCAGATTAATAGGAGTCTATGCGGACAACATACATCAAATGTTATCAATTTACTACATCTGGATGTCACAAAGCAGAATACAACAGTATGAGGGATAAAGTCAAGGCCCCGGATTTTCAGGAGAAGCTGGGGGAGAAAGAGGGAGAGGTAACCCATAGTAGGAGATGAAGTCATCCAAGGATCAGTTCTCTGGGAGACCACTCTGGACTGCCTCGTAGATGCATTGTTGCATATCAAATTTCCCTTCTTCATACAGGGCTTCGACCCGGGCAGTCAGGGTGATCACCTCCTCTTGATGGGCGGCAATTGTCTTCTCCAGTTCACCCGTCTTTAACCGGAGCTCGCTTGCAGCCTGTCTCTCTTCCTTCAACTTCTCGAGGGTAAGCCGTCTTGCTTCCATGTGCTTCAACGCAAGCTCGTTAAGACGGGAACCCTCATACTTGGCCTCCTGGAGAGAATTCCCCAGCTCAAAAATCCTGGATTCCCTTTCAACCAACTCAGCTTTCAGGCTTCCTACCTGGTCTTCTGAAGCTGAGGCCCGTGATTCCAGGATGGAGATTTGTGCCTGAAATCTGTCAAACTGCACCTCCAGGTCCTGGGTCCCCTTTTGGTAACTGGCAACCTGCTCTTGTAGGGATTGGACCTTGGATCTCTCAACTGCTAGCTCCATTGAGCCATCTACCTTGAGCCGAGCATTCTCTGCTTGTAGGACCTGGACTTGTTGTTCCAGGGAGTCGACCCTCTGTTGTAAAGCCCTAGCAGCCATTTCCCTCTCCTTCAGGAGCACTATAGCCCGATAGTTCCTAGATGCTCCACCCAGGTACTCCTCAGTCAAAGTGAGGAGTGATTGCTGGGCCTAAAAAAGAAAAGGGAAGTCAAGGAAGAGAACTAACCTAAAAGGAGATAAAGAAAATTTTGGAAAGAAAGAGTACCTGCTCCATGAGGTGCAGAGCATTGAGGGCAAGCAGGTCGGGGCGAGCCTGGGGAATTGCAGGCTCCTGCACGGATTCCCTCATCCTCTCTAGGTTTGCTTGGATGGTCTAATGGGAAGCCTGTAAGGACCTCAGACCACGGGAGAAGCTTGCCCAACCCTCTGTAAAAACAGGATAAGTTTGCGGCGTGAACTTACGCCGGATGGGGATATTGGGGGCCTGGAGTGTGGCCGTAGAACACTGTCCCTCCGGCTCTGGTTGTGTCTCAGTCTCTCTCGCCATTTCTAGAGGAGCTTCAGCATCCCTCTTCATTCCAACCTCATTCTCCTTTGGGGAGGGGATTTCCGTTTCTGTCTGCACTTCAACTTCCTTCTCTACTGCAGGAGAAGACTCTGGTTCTTCCTGCTCCTCAACTTCTTCCTCCAGTTCTTGGGGAGCAGATGCAGTTTGAGGGAGGGGATTGTTTGCATCAGACTGGGGCTGCACTTTTGGTTTTCTGAGTGATGTTTGGCCTGAAAGTTCATCTGCCTCATGATCCAGGCTCTCCGGGTTGGGTTACTCCAGCCCTAAACTTCTGGGTGTAGCAGCAGAAGAGGTGTTCTAAGGGCCAGAAGAAGTTGACAGGGGCTGGGCGAAACAGAGGTACCATCACCCCTATTCTTCTTGGGAAGGAAATCATCATCAGTGACTCCCTCCCTTGGCCGTTTCTGGGATGGAGTGGGCCTCCTGAGCCTAGGGATGGCAGAGATGGGGGTAACGTCCAAGGCGACAGCCGGCTTGCAAATAACAAGGGCAGTAGAGTTGCCTTGGAATTGGTCCCTGAAGGAGCTCGCGGCCGGGTTGGACTCTGCAGCAGAAGGAGCCTTCGATCTCTCAGGAGAAGGCACCCCTTCAAAGGGAAACGGGTCAGGACCCAGGGGGTAGTAAAAACCCGCCTTCTTGTACAGTTGGACGTCTTGAAGGGAGTGGTGTGAAATCAAACCCTCTTTCTCTCTTAAGGCATTGTACACCCCCTCCGCTGATTCTGCTGCAGCAAATTTCGTCCGGGAAATGGAACGGCGGAGGACGACACCCGGTAGATCAAGGGGGCTGTGAGCCGGGAACTCAATAACGAAATATCTCAATGACCATTTTTCATACTTGAACTCAACCTTCTCAAAAATTGGGAAATGGTTGTGGGGGTATAGGCTGTAAAAGGGGAAACCACCGATACTGAAGAGGAGAAGGAATTCGTCCAATTTCGGGGTTTTATCCAGGGCACAGCACCGCAAGATGTAGGACGCGACATACTTGTGCGCGTTGGCAGTCAATTGACCCGGAGCAAATCCGAAATGGAGGCAGAGGTCGCGGAGCAGGCCGTGGAGGGGCAACCTAAATCCATTTTCCACGGAGTGGTAATGCATGACCATATATCTTTGGGGGTTTGGATTGCAAGATAAACTGATCCCCCCAACGGCATCGGGATGGTGGACCCGGAAGCCCTTGCCCAGAAGCATGGCCATCTCTCGAAGTTCGTTCTCTTTGATAATGGAGGGTCCGTGGGTCCAGGTTTCAGGATTTGTAGGAGCCATTTCGGAGAGAGAAGCCAGGATTTGGGGAAATTGCAGTCGGAATTCGGGTCGGGTTAAGATTCAGTAGCGAGAGGAAGAAGATGAGTCCAGAAAGGGTTTTTATCCGTTGAGAAGGTGGACCCAAGGTACTCGAGTGCGACGTTTCTAATCCGACACGAAGATCGAAGGCGGCTCATCATTAGTTTTCTAGCGACACGTCGCCAGAAAACTAGGGGGCTTGTGATGGATATCGGGTCTGGTAGACCCGACTCCAGGCCCAAATGAAGGCCCATAATAGCCCAAAAGGTATAAGGTCAGATGGAGATAACGGGCTAAGCCCGTTATCGCGCATATGGCAAGTAGAGGAAGACGGCCCAGATATGGGATAGATCAAGGTGACCCAGTCCAAGGGAGGAATGGGACACGTGGCCCACATCATCAAGTTGTGGGCGAAATGGGAAGAGAACGAGACCGGAAAGAAGGGGAATCACAACCCCATGATCTCCAGAATCCTTTCCATTTTGTATAATTTTAATTACAATATTAGAAAGGCTATAAAAAGGGGAAGACCCCGCCATTGTAAAGAATGACACAACGAGACAATTGAATACCCAATCAAAGAATATTATCGAGTTATTATATCTTCGCAATTCATATTACGTTCTTGGTCCGCGCCATCTGATCGGGTTAATCCCATCAATATATATATATATATATATATATATATATATATATATATATATATATATATATATATATTAATTATATTTGACATACTTAATTATCACATAATTAAAATGTCCAAATATAACCATTATTTATATACGGAGTATATGTTTGTGTATCTAATCAGTTGTCTTGTATTTATTATTTCATGATTGATACAATTGTTTCATTATTCATTAATAGTAACCACACACTTTTACTTGATTTATTTTTTAATTTTTTAATTGTATGGGTATGCAATACAATGTTCCTTATATTTCATTGATGATCAATGCTTATATAGTTCGACTAGAAAAATGTCAAATTGAATAGTATAGATACGTTAAGATAAGAAAAGTTACATATCATTATGCATCAATACAAACATAGATTCAAAATTTGACGAACACAAACACATATATAGTGAATAAGTACGCAAAACTCTTGTAGAAATCTGTTATTTGGCCGTCTAGCTTATTGGATCAAATTTTATTATTGATATATCGGCTATTTATGGTTTTTTTGTTTAAAGATCATATTTGTTGGTGAATGGGGCAGTAACAATTATTGGGGCCAAGATCATCTGCAAGGCAAGGAGGTTGATCCCTTCCATCTTTGTACCACATTGCCCTTTCTTGCACCAAATCTTTGAAGAAGTTGTCTAGCGCCTCACTTGTGACGCCCGGCATGACGATGACGTGTGCCATGTCGCGCACGCAAGAGAGTTGCCAACGACGAACGAACTCTTTGTCGCGCGGTCGCTCAAATACGACCGTAATGCCGTTTTCGTTGTGCATGGTGCTGATCCCCGCCCCACGGAACCGGTCCCTCAGTCGTGCCGCGTTCTCAATGCACCTCTGGGCGTCCTTCTGGAGCCCGGCCCGACCCTTGGTGCTCAGGCTGTACCATAGGAAAATTGGGGTCAGCCCGTTCCGGCTGCCCGAAATCGTGGCATCCACGGAGGCAATGTACTCCACGTTCCGAGAGAGATTGTGGATGAGACATTTTCTCGTGATTTGGACGCCGCAAGGCATCGGGCAACCGAGGAACTTGTGCCCTGAAATCGTGACGCTCCCGATCGGCTTCTTAAACGTGATTTTTGGGACGTTTTTTACGAATGGGACAACGAGGCCCGAGAGGGCTGCGTCACAGTGGATGTAGAATTGGTCGTGCGAATATCCGCACTCACCGAGAGCGTGGATGATCGCGTCCAAGTCATCCATGGCTCCTTTGAAGGTTGTTCCAATGGTGACATTTATAATGGCTGGCTTGCCCTTGTTTCTAAGCAACTTGGACTTCAAATCATTGTAGTCCATTTCCCCATTGATCATTGTCTCAATTCCTTCAAACTCCATTCTATACATGTGTGCAGCCTTGAAGACCGAGTAGTGTGATTCTCTTGATGCATACAATATTCCATTTGGAAGTACCTCTCTCCTATATATTTATAAATAATAATTAGTCAAATTTAAATTAATTTGTTATTAAATTAATAATAATGTTCTATATAGATGTATTGAAAATATACTAAAACAAAAATGAGACGAACTCGCCACGGATGACAATAAAAATGATTCATACATACCCAGACGATAACCGTCTATAAACACACAAGATTATTGTCTGTGTACGTAAAAATCATTTTTTATTAGCTCAAGCTTGTGATTGTGGGCCAAGAAATGTTTCTTATATTCTCACACGCCCCCTCACGTGCAGGCGTAGTTTTTTTCGAGCCTTGCACGTGAAACCTAAATTTTTAAAAACTGGGTGGCGCTGAGTTTCGAACCTGTGACCTCTTAGTCAAGAAGGCTCCGATACCATGTCAAGGAACCAATTCAACCAAAAGCTCAAGCTTGTGGTTGTGGGCCAAAAAATGTTTCTTACTCCCTCCGTTTGGGAAAACCCTTCCCACTTTGAAAATAAGGCAAATTAAGGAAGTGTAAAATTATAGTTGACTTCCAATTTTGCCCCTGATGTGATGGGTAAAAGTAAGATGTGATGGATTGATTATTAGAGAAAAAGTATGATGTGATAGGTAGGGTATAAAAAAGTAAGGGTAAAAGTGGTTTTTTAATAGAAAGCGGAAGTGTTTTGTTGGAAGTGAAAAAAATGAAAGAGGAAGTGTTTTTGAGAACGGAGGGAGTATATTATTACACGTGGAGGCACCCCTAATAAAATATTCACATGATCCGTATTAAAAAGAGGTAATTAGTTAAGTACCCAAGGAGAATGCCATGGAGATTGCCCTCAGTGCCACCATTGGTGACATACCCCCAATACTCATCCTTTTCAATTTCCCAAAGTTGAGCGAACCAATCCAAAACCCCAACTTCAAAATCTTTGGAATGAAAATCAACAGTGTTCTCAATGAATGGATCCCCACAATTGTTCAAGTGGTAACGAATCAACGGCGCTAAAGTTGCATAGTGTTCATACACTATGTTCACTGGATAACCTGCACGTTAAGTTCAAATCACGCCCAACCAAAGTTGGTTTATGTTATTCATTAAATTCTTAACCATGCAATACTTGTATAAAGTATCACAATAAATTTTACTTCCTCCGTCACTAAAAATTTCCGTTTTCATTTTTTTTGTTATCCTCAAAAAATGTTCCCTTATATATTAAAAAAATGTATTTTACTCATGAGTTTTTCATAGTCTACCTATCACATTAATGGTATTTTTATAAAGTTAACACAAAAGATTTCCCTTTACTTTTTTTTGTTGTCCGCAAAAAATGTTTCTTTATCTATTATCCCTAACTTTTTCATACTCTACCTATCACATCAAGGGTATTTTTGAAAAGTCAATACAAAAATATATATCCCTTAAATCCTCAAAAAGTCAATAAAGGGATGGAGAAAGTAACTTATGCTTTTCAATATAAAATAGTTTGACCGTCAACGTATTGAAGTATTGACAAATACGGTAGTCTTTATGTAATTTTTTTTAACGGTGACAAAATAAGTATTGTAGGGAGTGTAAGTCTTTAACTTTTTTTGGAGTTAATTCCTATATCAGAAAAAATAATAAAAATAATCACTTGTGTAAAAAGTTTATATCCATTTCTTCTTTCTAAATATGGAATATGCAATCCAAAAAATTACTTTATCCTCAATAAATTAAAATGATGCCCTTTATACTTTTTAACATAAAGTTGGATTTGTTCCTGTTACTTTCTGCATGTGCCCGATTGATATTAATTAAAATAAAAAATATGGAACATTTCATAATAGTTTTTAGTATGATAAATTAGCGTATATGATTGATGTTGTATATAGATACTCTTATTTTGAGAATAAAAATATGAAGTTTTTATTTTGGTATATTTTATATGTCGTACTCCTATTTTAATCTTTTCTCTCTCATCTAATATGAGATATTTGTTAGATAAAATAATTTCTTGAAAGTTTTTCAACAAATAAATCTATAGAAGTCACCATAAATAGGACTAAAACATAGATAAAAGTATAAAAATAGGACTTTCATATTTTTCTCGAAATAGCACTTTGGGTAATGTGAATTTGCCCTGTTGTAATGTGGCAGTGTACATGTGCAAATTACTATACTTTTTTAGTAATGTATATGACCATGTATGGTAATGTAAGCCCTATTTCGGGAATAAAAATATGGAAATCCTATTTTGATATATTTTCAATGTTTTAGTCCTACTTTAGTCTTTTTCCCATAAATCTATTAAAAAAATTTTATATTAATCTTATTAACCTATAGTAAAAAAATTATTAATTTTAAATACGAAATGTCAAAACTGGACCTACATACTCTGAGACAAAGGTAGTATATGTTACGTACCTATGTGGTAATTGACTCGTTGGGCAATTGTGTCAAGATACTTTGCAAGCATGCATTTCAGGCGAGCCTCATCGTCTTTGGACCGCGGCTCCACCACCGTGATGTGCATGTTCTTCCTTGCCGGAGGCGGCACCGTTTTGATCATCCTCTTGTTTTCACCTAATTCTCCATTGGTGAAGCTCCCATTTTGGACAAAGAATGGGAGGAAGGCGTCCCGTTGGCTAAGAGTGATTGGCTTGAAATCCTATACAAGTCAAACATATGTTGATTTAATTTCAACTTGTATGTATATACTCCCTCCCTTCGTATCTTTTATTTCATTTGACTTTTCATAGCCTCTAATGAATACTTTGACTATTAATATATCTTTATTTATGTATCAACATAGATTATAAAAGTACTCGTACAATACTACAAAACAAGATTTCAATATTAATCTAATGATGTTAGATATATATCAAAATTCAATATATTTTTTGTAAATTCTAGTCAAAAGATTAAAATATTGACTAAAAAAATTAAAATGAGAAGAAAGATATGAGGCAGATTAAGTGGGTAATATGTCGTTCGCTATGACAAATTTAGAATGTTAGTTACTTCACAAAGTATTAAAAAAAGTACTCCCTACTTTAAAAAAAGGTTTATAATTGAGTTTTTTTTATTAAAAGCAAGAAAAATCTTGTGATTAGCATGAACAAGAGGTATGTGAATATATTTTGAAACGAAAAATGTAGGGATTTATAAAACGACTAATAGTAATTGGAAGGTGGCAAAGATAATTCGACATATAAAGGAAGTGTTTAATGTTTTTACAGGGTTAAAGTTTCAATTTCTTAAAAAATAAATCACACAAAAGAAAGTGGGAAAGAAAACTATTTCAATTTACTCCCTCAAGTCTTGCTGAAATTTTCAAGTTTAAACTCCGCTCTCCAAAAATGTTAGATTTTGATATTTGAAAGTAATATTTTATTAATCTCAAATTAATATTCTTAGTTACTATTATGGTCTCTCGATAACATATATTTGTATGAATGTTTTAATTATTCATTAGATACAATAAAATATTTTTTTCATTTTTTGGTTTACTTGTAGAACTTTTGATGTCATTTTGAACAATATACTTTGCACTACTTTTTATTTTTACACCAATTGTGATTAAAATTGTTTTAGAAGAGAGAAGATTTTACACATCGTACCTCTTCGAATGCAAGAATACCCATATATGTTGTATCCTTAAAGCTTGCTAGGTAGAAAGAAATTAAGAATGTTAGCTAGTCGTCCTAGCTATATAGCGGACTGATCGAAGTTAGCTTGATTTTTCGAATGGGAGAATTCTTAATTGGGGTGAGGTTATGTCCTTTGGACCAAGCACTTATATAGTTATATATAGTATAAAGTTCCCAACCTATCACGGTTTGGCCAACAACCACATTAATCATTGCTTTTCTTTTGTCTCGTTTTTTTCTGTAAGGGCCAAGGCCTTTTACTTTATTCTTTTTCTTGTGCCCCTGTTTGGCCGGAGCGGTGCACGCCGGAGTCCACTTGATTGCAAGACCGGCCGAGCTTTAATTCTGTGGCCTCTAAATAACCAATTTGCACTTAACCCCTAGGGAATAGGGACAATGGAAAATTTTTCTTGTATTTCTCACAGGTTAGAACTCTATATGTAAATTAAACTAAATAAAAAAAGAAAGAGAGTCAATATACATCGAGAAACTACCAAAAAAATATATACAGATATATGGAATATTTCTTTCTTTTAACACCCCCATCAAGTTGAAGCATATGCAAAAGCGAAATGCCCAACTTGGGAATAAGAAACTCCAGATAAGCTTTCCTCAATGCCTTCGTGTGAATATCGGAAAGCTGATGCGTAGTATGAGCATGATATGTATGAACCACACCGCAAAGAAGCTCATCACGAACAAAATGACAGTCGATTTGAATATGTTTCGTAGGCTCGTGAAAAACTGGGTTAGCTGCAATATGAAGTGCAGCTGTGTTGTCAGAGTGAGTCGTCATAGGATGATCGTGCAAGATGCCTAGACAGCATAAGAGACTCTTCAACAACTTCAACTCACAAGTAATAGCAGTACGGGCCCGATATTCAGCTTAAGCAGATGAACAAGCAACTATCGTTGCTTCTTTGTTTTCCATGAAACGGGCGAATTTTCGAGTTTAACGAACCACCTAGACAAAGATCGTCTCGTCAGGGGGCATGTAGCTCAATCATAATCACACCAACTTGTAAGTTGGAGATTATTCTCTCCCCGTCCTGGACATCCGTTTAAGTACCAAACAACATTAAGGGAAGAAGTCCATTGATCCTCTCTAAGTTCCTTCAAAAATTGTGCTTAAGTGTGTACAACATAAGAGAGCTCTGGCTGAGTGTCAGATAGATAAACCAGACGCCCCACTAGACATTGATAAGGTTCAGGATCCGCAAGAACTAGAGCTTGAGAACAAGCCAAATGATGATTCGGATCCACTGGTGTGCCCAATGGTCTAGCACCCAGTAGACCGGCGTCAGTTATCATGTCTAAGGCATACTTCCGTTGGCAAAGGAAAATCCCAGACGTGCTTCGACGCACCTCAATCCCAAGTAAAACCTTCAAAGTCCTCAAGTCCTTCATATAAAAGCAATCAGCAAAGTTTAATTTGAATTTGGTTGTCATATCCGCATTATCTCTAGCAATGATCAAATTGTCAACATATATCAAAACATGAATAACTCGCTTTTTCCCATAAAAAAAAGAACAAGGAGCAGTTAGAAATGGACTGAACAAACCCATAGCGTCTGTAACACCCCAACCCGCATAACCCGAATAAATAGATTAGCGAACCGGGTTGCTACTAAATTGGTATCCACATACAATATTTTTTAATAAATAAAAACATTTGATTTAAAACTAAGTAATACAAAACCATTTAAGTACATATCATAGTTTATACAAACAGTGCAGAAGCTTTATAATTAAATCAAGCATTATGAAATCCCTGCATCCGTACATCTCCTCCGTCACGCTACTGTTGTTCGATCGGGGAAGAAGGGTTCGCCGGTCTCCCTCTCTTCGTCGCTGCGTGTTTCGATTTGAGGAGGAGAGCTGGTAGCGGCGATCGAATTAAGCGACGCTTGAAATAGGGCTAGGGTTTTGTGCTCCGTAATTTAAAATAACGTGTCTGAGTAAAACACACTTTTCGGGCTAACCTGCTCCGAATTGAGATCCGTTCGCGTCGTTGGATTCGATTCGTCGATCCCTACCCGATGGTATAACTTTTATAATCGTTCAACAAGTATTCATAGGTTCCACGTGGTCCGTCTTAATTCTTTTGATTAATTAATACGGATTAGTCTTTAAATTCAGATCTTTACAAATATAATTAGATTAGTCTCGATATAGTGAGACAATTAGAATCTCCGAAGTATCTTAATTATTCTTTAAGGAATAAGTTGTAAATAAATAATTCCTATTTATTTAAATAACAAATAACTTCTAGACCGGTTTTCAGGGCATTACATTTCTTCCCCCCTTAAAGGAATTTCGTCCTCGAAATTCTTCTAAGGTAGATAGTTCAACAACTTGGTTTGACATTTGCTTCACGACTATGATTAGGTGAATGGTCATGCCATTCCCACGAAAGTTCTCTTTATTTATCAAGGCATTATCCTAGGAGTTTTGTATTTGTGTTTCGTTCAAGACATATGACAATTTCATCAAGCTCATAACTTAATCTTTCTTGAGTTTGATTTCAACAGATATATATGGACTACCTCCATAGCACGTTCAAACAATACTTAAGCTTTCAAATATCGTAGCATCAGTTATTTGATCAATCATTCAGTTCGTATTCGAAGTTCATTTGTGTCGTTAGCTAATGACAGCAACATAAGATTTTTCTCAAGATTTCTCATTGATTAGCAGGATTGTTTCGTAACGTTCACACTTCCGTGTGGTCGACAATGGAGTTTAGGAAATTATTTCACCATTAGGCTCTTCGAGTTTTAGAGGTTGTTTCATAAGTCTATCTCGAGTTGTTCTGTTCTCTATCGCGCTATCACATCACGATTCTTGTAGCATATCGTCATGGTCAGTTTCACGGCGTTGTCACTTCCTACTTGAGTTGCTCTCTAGAGAAGTGAACTCCCAATGCTTAGTAATAGCGGATTACTATTCGATTATTATTCATGTTCGATAATGTGTTCGCGCCATTAGTGTATTGGTTTGTTTTGTTCAAGTACATAACAAGATATATTCCTGGTGGCAATTAATTCGATCGTCTATTTATCAACGACTCTCTTTTTGAATAGAAAGGAGATTCTTCAACAGGTGGTTACGTCCCCGATCTTTGATAATGTCGAGGTACTTAGGAGATTATAGATTTTCGTTTTAAGAATTTGGTTAGCAAAATTTTTTGCAGGCTTACTTGTAACGATCTTCGTGACAACTCTTCGTTCAACGACCCTTCACGCGATCAGTTCGGGTGATTTGGATACTTCGAGTGACGAGATACAACACTGTCTTCTTGTTCATACATACACGTGTCTTCGTTGTTGGTGGAGTAAAATAATCATCGTTCAAATCTTCAGCGACATTCAGACTGGTTCAGTATGATCACGAAGATTTCATAATTGCGTTCTATTTTGAATACGTTCTTAAGTACGGCTTAGTAAATAGTTTCATAGAATACGAGTTTAAAAGTCACAGTTAGAATTATTACATAGAATTTTTTTGCCACACAAGGCATTGCTATCACTACAAGTACGTCATCACTTGATTTTAGGAAGAGGTTTGGCAATTCGTCATGGAGATACCACTCCATTCACGTATAGGAGTTTGACCGACGTCAATGGATCAAAGTGAAGGACAATCAGTGTAGTCAACATACAAATGTAAATCACAAATAAACTTTATCGGTTCGGGAATATTAGTCATTCGTTTATCACAATATTTAGGCCCAACGTCGGTACAATCACACGCATTCGACAAGGTGATTTAAGAATTACTTCTTATGGATCGTCATTCTTCAACGCATCTCTCAAGCGAGTCCTTTGAAAACCCTTCATTATACGATCTACATACTTTCATGATTAAATTCGAGCGATATCGCGTATCGCATAGTTAGTTGTCAGATCGTTCCATGCGGAACAAGTTTCGTCATGATTCATCCCTCATCAGCAAGTTTGTTTTGCATGCCAAAGGTACTTCGTCAGAAGCCGTAGCAACATTTGTTCCTTTGTGTGTCGTACACAATACCTCATTTGTGTGAATCCCGTGGTGTTACTCACCAATTTGCTTTTCCTCAACAATTCTTCACGTTCAGTTCTATGTTGTGACACAAGTTCAGTCCTTTGAATAAAGTTTCTGTGTGAGGTTGTGTCATACACGTTCATCGTGTTTGTGTTGCTTCAGCTTCGTACCCTTGATGGGTCGTTCTTGCTTCAGCTTCAGCTTTGTACCCTCGATGGGTCGTTCTTGGTCAGCATACTCAATTTACTTCGGTGTTCAGGATTATCGCTATTACCCCTTTTTGGGCGATTCATGGCTTCATCATGGTTCTACGTCATTGGCAAACACTCAGAGGCTCGTCCTCTAGTTTCAGGTGAAAATCAACTTTGTGACATGACATTAACAGTAATGTGTTTGGCATTAAGTGCATTCGTCGGTCTCGGAGTAGGTTCACCCTTCGTGAGTCGTAACCTAGAATCTTCAATGGCACAGTCGAGATTAAGCGGATTCATTCTTGGTTCATTAAAGTTATATCTCAAGCAGTTCCTTGAGTCATACTAACGAGTGAGTGGGGCGTCCCACTAACGTCACAACTAACACTATCGGCGTCACCAATGACTACTGTTTAGTTTTTTTTATGGGTTAAAAGCCCTTCAACGGTGCATCCGCTAACGGCTCAACACATTTCTACGTGTCGATGTCGTAACCTCTTTTGAGTCCGCTTCATTCGTCTCATCTTGTCGATCAGGGCACGTCGGTACGTCACGTCTTGCAGGATAGATTATTCATTACGCACCTTTGGTTTGTATCCAGCCACATCACTACACTATGATGTGCTGGTGGTAAGTATTGCTTTCTCTGTTAAACAAACAAGTTCTCCTTGTCCTTTATACGGTCATTCCTGTTTGATACCAAAATAAGACTCCCTCATCCATCCAAGTCTGCAGCCCCTTCAGAATTTGGTTGTCCATTCCAGTGATCATATGAGATAACCGAATATTAGACAAGAGACTTTATTATGAGTATATTTTTACACTATTTTCTTTTGTTACCCAGCATCTCGTATTCAGTGTTGATGCTAGCATTCATGTTATAGTAATAGGTTCCATCTATAGGATGTGAATTCCTATCTTAGATTATTGCATTTGAGTATGTAGAGAAATAACAATTTGTAGCTCAACGCAGATATTCCAACAGTCAATTTAACACACAAATTGAAGCAATCAGCTTCATACCAGTATTTGAGCAATCACCTCAGCAGAACTATTCGAACAATCAGTTCCGTTCAAACAACTTGAGCAATCAGCTCCACACAAACACTTAAGCAATAAGACAATAACTTATTACCTACCCGGGAGGCAGAGATGATGTGGAGGATGCGGATGCAGTATTTGGAATAACTTTTTCCATAGCTATTACTATCGAAATAATACTATTTCCAATTATTTATTTTCAAAATAATATTTTGCAATGGTCCAAAGGCCGATTATAAAACCATATGCTCCGATACCAAAATGTAACACCCCAACCCGCATAACCCGAATAAATAGATTAGCGAACCGGGTTGCTACTAAATTGGTATCCACATACAATATTTTTCAATAAATAAAAACATTTGATTTAAAACTAAGTAATACAAAACCATTTAAGTACATATCGGAGTTTATACAAACAGTGCAGAAGCTTTATAATTAAATCAAACATTATGAAATCCCTGCATCCGTACATCTCCTCCGTCACGCTGCTGTTTTTCGATCGGGGAAGAAGGGTTCGCCGGTCTCCCTCTCTTCGTCGCTACGTGTTTTGATTTGAGGAGGAGAGCTGGTAGCGGCGATCGAATTAAGCGACACTTGAAATAGGGCTAGGGTTTTGTGCTCCGTAATTTAAAATAACGTGTCTGAGTAAAACACACTTTTCGGGCTAACCTGCTCCGAATTGAGATCCGTTCGCGTCGTTGGATTCGATTCATCGATCCCTACCCGATGGTATAACTTTTATAATCGTTCAACAAGTATTCATAGGTTCCACGTGGACCGTCTTAGTTCTTTTGATTAATTAATACGGATTAGTCTTTAAATTCAGATCTTTACATATATAATTAGATTAGTCTCGATATAGTGAGACAATTAGAATCTCCGAAGTATCTTAATTATTCTTCAAGGAATAAGTTGTAAATAAATAATTCCTATTTATTTAAATAACAAATAACTTTTAGACCGGTTTTCAGGGCGTTACAGCGTCTCAACGCTGGTTACAACTTAGCAAACTATCATCATGGTGCCTATTTCAATCCATACAGATATTTTTTGAGTTTGCACACGGACAGGGGGGGACTAGTACGAGAGAGTGCTCCCAGTTGTTTTTTAAAATCAATGTAAAATGAAAAACGAATTGTTTTTATTTCAATCAAATATTCAAATAATTATTGAAAATCTAAAAAATACCCTCTATACTTTTACTTTCTCTTGTAATATTTACTTTCTATTTATGTTGTATAATTTTATATATTTCACTTTTAAGATATTTTATTGGGGGCAAAACATTTTTTCATTTCGGGAAATATTAATTTTTAGGGTAATTTTTATGTACTAGTTAAAGAAAATAAAAATTTTATTTGGGGAAGTGCCATTATCCGCCCATGCCCTGCCCCACCATATCCAGCTCGACCACAAAATGTGGAAAAGCTCTGGATAACCTACTTACCACGCCAACACGCTTCCAAGCCTATATATATGGTCAAACCTTTGGTTTACTTCTCATGTTTAACTTAGAAAATAACGATATTCTCTTATTTCTCTATGAATTTATTTCACTAAGTTGTACAAAAAGTATTTTGTTAGATATTCGGGAGCGTCAACAAAGACTTTCCTTAGTCCACAAAAGGAAAAACAAATCAGGAGAATGAAGCCAAAGTGTGGCGACTTTAATTGGGTTGAATTCATTCCTTTTTCCTATCATGAAGCCCAAACCAACACCATTGTTGTCCTACATCCCACTTAGGCCGAGCCATCTAAACCCCAAACCATCCCTAAATATCCAAACTGCCTTGTCTTTTATTCCCTTTCAAATAAAGTCTTCCTCCACTTATTTTAAGTCCCTTGACTGAAAATAAGAAGACAAACCAAAAACCTTTTCTTTTGTTATTCTTAAACCTTTAAGTAATCAAATAATACACTTCCCCTCCTCTTCTTACATTATGGACGAAATATCCATCTCCCTAATCCCCCCCATAATCTCTTCAATGAAATAATGTATAATTGGCCAAAATTAATGTCAAACCATAAACCAAACCAGGCCCTTCCCTCATTTGGCCTAATTATAGGTCCCAAAACAAGCCCCCTTTTATTCACCACCATAACCACCAAATGCATGTGCTCCCCACTTTGGCCAAAGAAACACCCAAAAAAGGCCAAAAGAACCTGACCTGCCACCAACCATATCAACCAGCCCTTGTTCCCCACTCATGGTCTAAAGCATAAGTCCAAATTAGCGATTCAATCTCCCCCTTTTGTTCCCCTACCTACTGGCCAAAATAACTCCACAAAACCAGCCCACATCTCTGAATTCATCCCACCAAAAGGACATGAATAAATGGCTATTATTCTTAACATGTAGAAGAGGAAGTTGCTTGGTAGTTTCTTTGTAGTTACATTCAATGTATTGTGTATTTCTTCCCCCTTCCCCTGGCTATATAATCAGGCCCTATTGCCATTGTAAACACATCGTTGAATATTGAAAACTTTTTACTCTTTGAGTATTCATAAAATAGTGTGATGCTATTTTAGCCAAATTCCTAATTCTATATCTTAAGAGTGGTTATCTTAAGTGTGAGTTTTAGGTTCTAGATATTTGATTGAGTGTGTAATATCTTGATTAAATATTAGAGTTCAACCCCAAGTTAATCTAGAGGTGAGCTTATCCTTTAGTATTAATTTGGCTCCAAATTAAGATAAGAGTGTGTTTATCTCTTATTCCTTATTTGGAATTTATGCCATCCCTTCTTAAACCCATCTTTCATCCCTGATTTTCCACTCTTCTTCATAATATCAAAACCCAAAAAGAACTCCTTCACATTCCCATATTTTCATCCAGCCCATTTCCCCTTCATTATTCCACAATTCCATCTCCAAAAATAACAACTTGATAAGACCCCCGGTTCACCCCTAACATCTGGTATCAGAGCTCAACTTCGACGACTTTCTCAAGTCTCGACGATTACCCGGAGGACCAGCTTCACCTACACTGCCCAAAAACCAGCCCCTACAACACCTCTTTTCCCTTTTGATCATTTAAGCCATAGCTACTGCCCTCCTTTATTCATAACCTTTCAAAGCCACCAAGACATGCCTCACACCATCCAATACATGTCCCATGAAGTTCTAGCTGCTGATCAAAAGAAACTAAAGAAGGAGCTTGATCTTTTGATGAAGAAGATTGGAGAGTTCACAAATTTAGTGGATATCCCCATGTTTGAAGGAAGATTCGATCCGGAGAAGTTCTTACGGTGGTTAAAGAAGGTCGAGAATATCTTAACATTCAAAGAAGTTCCCGAAAGTAAGATGGTCAAGCTAGTGGCATCTCGGTTCCAAAGACATGCCTCCACTTGGTGGACTAGTGTCACCATTAAGAGAAAGCTTGAAGGAAAAGTCAAGGTACAAACTTGGGAGAAGATGAGAACGCTCTTGATCAAAAGGTTCTTGCCCAGAGATTTCCAACAAATGGTACCCATAAACACCTTCAAAACATTTCCTAAAACCATGCCATTTTCTCCACAAGAACCAGTGCATGTATTCCTCCCAAAACCCCAGCACCAAACCCCTTACAAGCTGCCACAACCATTTCCATTCCTTCCCCTACACCTACACTTCAAACACCATCAAAAACCACCACCTTTTCTTCGTTATCTACTGCCCAAACTAATTCTCAAACCCATTCAATACCCATGCCCCAAAACCCCTCTAAAACCATGTCTTTAACACCAAAACTTACTGCCCAAAACACTGCACAAGCTACCTTCATTCCCATAGTCCAATACCCTTACAAAACCATCACCTTGCACTCCCTTAATACTTCCCAAAACATTCAAAAAGCCACTGCCATGTCCACAACCCACATTTCCTCTAAATTCCCCTCTTCAANTAGCCACTGCCCTCATTCACCCCAACACCTTCTCAACACCCCTGCCCCAAAACTCCCCAAAACCCATCTCTATAGCCTTCCCACAAACTGCCCAAAGCATCCCCGGACCCTCCCCCACTTCCAATGACCAAGACACCTCCAGAACCGCTGCTCTCTCAACCATTCAAACTTTTTCATCAAACCACCCTCATATTTTACTAGAAACCCTCAAACCATCTCTTACTACTACAGCCTTCACCCCTCAACAAACCAAGCCAACAATACCAATATCAACTGCCCAAATGAACCCTAAACCCATTCCCACCCAAAACCCAACCAGAATCGTACCTCCAACTCCACTCCCTAAGCTGCCTACAATCAAGTCTACAAACCCTGGTTGTTACCATTGTCAAAAGGTTGGACATTATGCTATCATGTGTCCAGATAAGAGAAAAGTGACCTTGATTGAAGATGTTATGGAACAAGAAGTTTTGAGGCAAAAACAAGTTCAAGAAGATGAGAGACCATTATTCTTGGAACAAGAAAAGCTCATGGTCGTTAATAAACCATTGAGAATTGTGGAAGAACGAGATAAAGAAGAAAAGCTCATAATCGCAACCACGGATGCTTGCCACATTCTTCTAGGAAGACCATGGTTGTTTGATCAGAGAGTGCTATATGATGGCTTCAGTAACACCTCATTATTGGGATTTCACGAAAGAAAACAAAGATGCAAGAACACTTTTTCCAAGTGCTCTATAGTTCTACCAAGGCTGCATTTTCAGCTCACCATACTCCAAGTACCCAGTGGACACATCAAGGAGTATGCCATGTTCAAAGCCAGCCCCTATTTTGAGCTTGAAGAAATTCTGAGTTTGAGGACAAACTCTTTTGAACAAGGGGAGGATGTTAGATATTCGGGAGCGTCAACGAAGACTTTCCTTAGTCCACAAAAGGAAAAACAAATCAGGAGAATGAAGCCAAAGTGTGGCGACTTTAATTGGGTTGAATTCATTCCTTTTTCCTATCATGAAGCCCAAACCAACACCATTGTTGTCCTACATCCCACTTAGGCCGAGCCATCTAAACCCCAAACCATCCCTAAATATCCAAACTGCCTTGTCTTTTATTCCCTTTCAAATAAAGTCTTCCTCCACTTATTTTAAGTCCCTTGACTGAAAATAAGAAGACAAACCAAAAACCTTTTCTTTTGTTATTCTTAAACCTTTAAGTAATCAAATAATACACTTCCCCTCCTCTTCCTACATTATGGACGAAATATCCATCTCCCTAATCCCCCCCCCCATTATCTCTTCAATGAAATAATGTATAATTGGCCAAAATTAATGTCAAACCATAAACCAAATCAGGCCCTTCCTGGTCCCCTCATTTGGCCTAATTATAGGCCCCAAAACAGGCCCCCTTTTATTCACCACCATAATCACCAAATGCATGTGCTCCCCACTTTGGCCAAAGAAACACCCAAAAAAGGCCAAAAGAACCTGACCTGCCACCAACCATATCAACCAGCCCTTGTTCCCCACTCATGGTCTAAAGCATAAGTCAAAATTAGCCAATCAATCTCCCCCTTTTGTTCCCCTACCTACTGGCCAAAATAACTCCACAAAACCAGCCCACATCTCTGAATTCATCCCACCAAAAGGACATGAATAAATGGCTATTATTCTTAACATGTAGAAGAGGAAGTTGCTTGGTAGTTTCTTTGTAGTTACATTCAATGTATTGTGTATTTCTTCCCCCTTCCCCTAGCTATATAATCAGGCCCTATTGCCATTGTAAACACATCGTTGAATATTGAAAACTTTTTACTCTTTGAGTATTCATAAAATAGTGTGATGCTATTTTAGCGAAATTCCTAATTCTATATCTTAAGAGTGGTTATCTTAAGTGTGAGTTTTAGGTTCTAGATATTTGATTGAGTGTGTAATATCTTGATTAAATATTAGAGTTCAACCCCAAGTTAATCTAGAGGTGAGCTTATCCTTTAGTATTAATTTGGCTCCAAATTAAGATAAAAGTGTGTTTATCTCTTATTCCTTATTTGGAATTTATCCCATCCTTTCTAAACCCATCCTTCATCCCTGATTTTCCACTCTTCTTCATAATATCAAAACCCAAAAAGAACTCCTTCACATTCCCATATTTTCATCCAGCCCATTTCCCCTTCATTATTCCACAATTCCATCTCCAAAAATAACAACTTGATAAGACCCCCGGTTCACCCCTAACATATTTACTCTAATTTGTTGGATATAATGAGCACTATCGAGTATTGTTGGATATAATGAGCACTATCTAAATTGTCGAAACAAAGAGTATATGTTTTTCCAAAGGAAAAGTATATGTCACCATTATATTATTGTTATACTTTATCTGTTTTGCTGAATTTTCAATTTTTTTTATTTTGTTATCCCATGTTTTAGTTTTTTTTCTATTAAAAGAAGTGTGTTGATTATATATATATATATATATATATATATATATATATATATATATATATATATATTACCCTTTCTAGTTCTAATTATATCATTATTACAACCATATTTGTCAATGTTTTAATCTTGAGTCATGTAAAAATTTGATGGGACCGAACGAGAGGGTATAAGTTTGTTTATTTAAATAATTGATCGAGGGAGAAGATTTATTTATCTTTTTCATTTTTTGTTGTTGTTACATAGGTGATTTAACAATAAGAGGATATCTTTTTATATTCCGAGGTACTCATTACAAGTGATAATGATTTATATTATGAATTTTAATTTAAATGTTTTCAATCAATCATATATAATATTTCTTTTATGAATTAGATAAATATATATGAAACATTTTTACGAGTTACAATGACAATTTCACGTAATCTGATATAGTACATCTGGACGACATTTAGTATTTTTCATACTGGTACATTCAATGTGCTTATGCACATTTCTAGAAAAATATAACCCTCATTTCAAATTTTCCAAGTATTTGTTTATTTATGGGGTAATATTCCTTTAAAAAGGGATTTTATTATATACTAGCATTTTAACCCGTGTCATGCATGGGTGGAATGAATTTTTAATTTTTCTTTGCTACAACATTTTTTAAAAAATCGTATGTATGAAATAAAACATCAACATTAAAAGTTAGAATAATGATAAAGTATACTTCCTCCACCTCACAAAACTTTTATTTTTTTTTTTGACTTTTAAATGATTTATTTGATGTTGTTATTTCAAAATGTCCTTCGATGTGATGGGTAAAAGTAAGATGCGATGGTTAGATTAATAGTGAAAAAATATGATGTGATAGATAGGTTAAGAATTGGTAAGGGTAAAAGTTAATTTTTAATAGTAATGAGAAAAGTTTTTTGGGACGGATGAAAAAAGAAAGGAGAAAATTTTTGTGAGACAGAGGAAATATAATATTTGCTAATGAAAATTATACTATATACAACAACAACAACAACCCAGTTAAATCCCACAAGAGTAGGGTCTGGGGAGGAGGGTGTGTGTACGCAGACCTTACCCCTACTCGAAAGTAGAGAGGCTGTTTCCAAAGAGACCCCCGGCTCAACGTCAAAAGTTGCGTTGCTTGACTGACTGCTACTTCATTAATTAAAGAAGCGCATACAGTTTAGAGATCCATTTTGATTTATTCCATCACACCCCAAAGCCAAAAACATGGTGAAATTTTGGCTCCATCGGAGATGATGGAAAATTATACTATATATATTTGAAAATTAACATGTCAGACTCTTATTTGAATTAGAACATTTTGAAAAATTAAGATATATAACATTTTTGTGTGATGTTATAAAAGACTACCAAAAACATCTAAAACTAATACTTCCAACCCAACTTTTACTCTCACTCACTAAATCATAATATTGGTGGAATTATTTATAGTATCAACCACTTCGTTGTAATCTATTTCCACAAAGATATGCCTTCAATCTTTGTCCTTGATAAAGTTTCAAGCCTCATTTACATAAATTACCTCCACTTCTCTAGGTCTGAAACATCATCTATCATTAAAGCCCCTTGATAATTTCAAGCAATAAAATGAACCCCGACACTCTATCAGCCAACCTCATTAAAGCATCCACATCAATCTTGACGTAGCCATTATACATCCATCATTGATGGGCAAAAAAAAATGATTCTCCCCATATTAGTTTAGATTATCGAATAAAATTGATTCATCTCCCCGCATTAATATTATTATCCTTCCTCATATTGATTAAAAAAATATTATTTTTCTTTCCACAGTTTAATTAAAAAATATATTGGTGATTCTATTATTATTCTCCTTGCATTAGTTATGACTCAAAGAATATGATTCTTCTATCCCGCGTCACTGCTTTAATTTTGAATAGCAAAATAAATATTATTCATCTCTCACGTATTATCATGATTTTCCTCTCTCGCATTGATTTAAAAATATTGAAATGATTCTTCTCTCCCCGCATAAGTCAAAAAATAAAATCTTAGATTAGCAATCCTATAATTCAATAAATAAAAATAAAAAATAATTAAAAATCCAATGATTTTATTCATTAGCATTAATTAAAAAGATTAATAAAAAAACATAAGTGATTCTATGATTTTGAGTAGAAATTTACTAAAATATTTATAGTTTTTTTGTGTTTTTTCTTTTTATTTGAGTACAAAATTACTCCTTTTTTAATTTATTTGATTTAAATATTTGATCTTTTTGAAAATAGGCTAGTCGGTTGTAGTAGTTTAATGCAGAGATCAAAAAAATTAAAAAAAAATTATTTTATATCTATATTTAAAAAAATAAAATCAAAACTAAATTCATTTAAGTGTGTCATAAAAATATGATTTTTTAGAGCTTATGAAAGTATTTATTCTAAACAAAGGAAATCTCATTTATTCATTGATAGTTTTATTATAAATGTTGTGAAAAAATATAAAATTTTAAAAAATGTATTCTAATGAAAGTGATGATCTATTTTTCATAATTAAATTTGCTTAATAATATTGAAATCATAAAGAATGTTAGTGTAAATATAGTATGTCTTGGTAACACATTTTTTAATCAGTTGTTAACTAAAATTTAATTAAAAATATCACATCATAATTTATAAGAGATGACTAAGAATATTATATTTTTCAATTTAAATCATAAATAGTCTAAGGACTATAAACCATAAATTTTATATAATAAAGTCAAATCATAAAATCAATATAATCGAACTATGAAATTAGGCATAGTATTTTTTCTATTGTAATATAATTATAGTTTAGTCATTTCGTATTCTATATATCTTTTGATGTAAATTTTAAACATATTATGTGTTTTGAATTTTACATCAATATTTCAATGAATCAAATCAAAACTAACTTCTTTTTAACATATCATAAAGAAAAACTTGTATCATATTGATTTAGAGGTTAAAAACCATCTTATCTATTGGTTGAAAATTTTATTCTAAAAGAAGAGAGTACAAACTTTTGAATTGGGAAATGATATTACCATTAAAACAGATGTTTCATTTGCATACTTAAATTTATTCAAAGATTTCATACCAAAATATTGATTTCACATTTTTTATATTTTTAATTAAGTGGAATATTAGACTATTAGCTGTCAAGATAAATATTAAAGTTATTTATTGGTGAAGAAATAAATTTATTTATAAGGTGTCAATATTTAAATAAATTTAATCAAAAAACGAATTTAAAGTAAAGGTATAATAAATAGTTATAAAATTTATTTATAGGTGAAGAGAGTTTTTTATATTTCATTCTAAAAATTTGTTTTAAATAAAGATAAAAAATAAGGAGTTTAAAAAGAATATTATTATAAAAAGGAATTTTTTTTCTTCATATTTATATTTAATCAAATATTTCTTACCAAACTTTTAATTTTATATTTTCCATATGAAAAATTATGTGACATATTAGGTGTTAGAAATGGCTACATAAAAAATAATTTTCTTTTCTTTTTATTCAGTTCATAAATTGGGTTGCATAAAAAAGCTACATAGGTAATTACACATGTCAGCCCTGAGTAATGCCACATGTTAGCTCCTAGCAATGCCACATGTCATCTCCTTAGAGCTCGGAATCTCATTTATACTCCCTCCGTCCCTAAATATTTGCAACGTTTGCTTTTTTCAGCGTTGCAGGAACTTTTGTTTATTTCTACGTTTCCATTGGTTATTTGATAAATAAAATATTCTTGACACCTCTTATTTCGAAGAACTTTTCATGTAGATTTTTGATATGCAAATTTTATTTTTTATTTCTATACCAATATGTAAATAAAATCAATTGGAAAAACTTGATATTTTACCTCGAAAATACAAGTGTGACAAATATTTAGAGACGAAGGGAGTATATATAAAGGATCACCTTGGTTCCCATGACATTGGGAACCAATGTCATGGGCACCTTGGTTCCCATGACATTGGGAACCAATGTCATGGGATGACCCGGGGGCACTCCGGTGCCCCGTCCGTAAAATTGACGGTTCCTACCACCTCTAATCCCCCCGCTAAATCCATCCACTCCGCCCCGACCCGAACGCACCCACCCACCCCCTCCAATTTCACCCCACAAGTTGATTTTGACTTTAGAGTCAAAATTTGACTCCAAAGTCAAAATCAACTTGTGGGGTGCAATTGGAGGGGGTGGGTGGGTGCGTTCGGGTCGGGGCGGGGTGGGTGGGTTTAGCGGGGGGATTAGAGGGGGTAGGAACCGTCAATTTTACGGACGGAGCACCGAAGTGCCCCGTCATCCCATGACATTGGTTCTCAATGTCATGGGAACCTTGCCCATAAGGATTTGCAGAGGTCTATTTGTTACCGAATGAGTACATCTTATTTACCTACAATGCTACAACTTTTAGTAGTCTACACCAAGATCGACTGAAAAATGTTGGTAACTGTCGCCGTTGAATGTCATCTACATTGCAGATTGTCACTTTTTCTCCTTTTCATATGGTACAGATTATTAGGTGACTACATTCAGCTACAAGTATTTTACACGATTGGTCGTAATAGGATGGACTGAAACTTTTTTGGTAAGTGGCGGGCCGTCCTTGAATGTGCCAATTGTGCATTCCTACCAAAAACACACTTAATTTTTTAGTCAAACTATATACTTCCTCCCTCCATAAATTTTTTCCCAAATTTGATTTTTTCTGAAATTTTTGAAATTTTAACCACAAATTATAGAAAAAATTTATTAAATTATCATTTAATGTAATATTAATATTTTCATTTTGAATTATAGTTTTAAAATATGAAATATTTGCACTAAATAGCACTAAAACTTAAGTCATTTATCTTAATAGCACTTAAAATGTTTTATTCCATAAATAGCACTTAATAATGTCCATAATGTCCAGTGATGACGAATATTTACTTGAATAATGACTAATGCATAATGACTAAACATTAGGGAAAGTCATTATGTTTTGGTGCTATTTGAGTAAATTTCTCTTAAAATATTATATTTTTTATTATATTTAATAGTATGTTTGTATATAAATAGATATATTATTGATCAAAATATTGTATTGGAGACCGTGAAAGGTACAATGAGAAAAATAATTATTGATGGCGGGAGTAAAACTTTGATTGTTAATAAATATATATTCTTAATTAAATAGATATTTGGAAAAATTATTTGAAATTATCCTACCTTTTCGTATTCTTTTAAAAATAATCATACTTTTCACTGTCACCCGTAATAATCCAATCTTTCCTCTTGTGTGTGAGTTTTGAATCACCATTAAGAAACCAACGGAAACCTAACAAATTTCTTTAGAAATGCCTATTTTGCACAAATAAATGAACGGTGAGACTACTTGATGTAAATTGTCCTTTGTTAAAGGAAAGAAAATATTTAGTAGAATATTTGGAGATATTTGTGTATATATTATGTTTGGTAGCTTCCTTGTATAGGGTTGATTTCGTTTCCTTTTGTGATTAGGTCTCTCAATCTGTGAGAGCCTATATATACATGTCTACTTTGTAAATTGAACACAAGAGAGTAATTCAGAAAATTTCCTCCAAAATAATTCTTTCATGGTATCAGAGCCAAAACCCTAGAAAATTTTCTACGACTACTGTTCACGATCGCCCGGCATGGCGTCCATCGATCGTTGCTCAGATTTAGTTAGTTGTTGCTGTTGCCGGATAATGGAACGGTCGACCGTTGCTCTAGAACGGTCGAGCACGTCGACCGTCCCGTCGGCAGATTGTTTGATTGATGCTGCTGTTGATTCTTCCGCCAACGCCGTACGCCACTCTGCTACCGCCATGGCCGATGAACAACCAAGGAAGATGTTTTTCTCGCTATCATCGTGTGTTTCTAGTTTGAAGCTTTCAGGTATTCCTGTATCACCGCGGTGGATTATAGATACTGGGGCATCAAATCATATGACTGGTGATATTTCGTTATTGTATGATGTTGTGGGAATATCACCGTGTGAGATTGGTTTGCCCAATGGGAAAAGAATTGTTTCTGTCCAATCGGGGAAGATTAATTTGACAGAAAAATTAATTCTACATGATGTTTTATATGTCCCCACTTTGAGTTGCCATTTGATCTCTGTGTCACAATTGACAAGGGATTCGAATTGTGAGGCACGTTTTGCCAACAATAAGTGTATACAACAGGATCTGAATTTGAAGACAGAAATTGGTACGGGTGAGCAGGAAGGAGGACTTTATTACTTTAAGGAGCCTGAAAAGAAGATGGTGTGCAGTGCGAAAAAGGAGAGTAAGTTTGATCTTTGGCACAAACGACTTGGACATCCTTCCTCTCATGTTTTGTCTCTTGTTCCTGAAGTTGGAACAAGTAAGAGTAGTCACAGTTGTTGTGACATTTGTTTGCGTGCTAAACAGACTCGTGGGAGTTTTCCTATAAGTTTTTATCAATCTGTTGATAAATTTGATATGATACACTGTGATTTATGGGGTCCGTATAGGACTCCAAGCTTTGATGGTTCTACAATGTTTTT